CAGACGCAGCCAGGATCTGTTTCAGGACATCCACACATGAAACTTTTAAATTCTTGCATTGGTATTTGCTAAACTTCTAGTTCCTGGTAGTAAAAAGACAGGTTTTACTGAAAGGATCATTGATCTCTCTCAGGAATGGAGTGGCAGCAGTTTATGCTCCAGTCTCTGAAGTGCTGCCTTTAATTTATGACAGAATTAGGATGGCTTTCTTGTTAAGGCAACCTCTGTGCTCAGTGTTCCCTGTAAAAGACCCTACTTTGAGAGTGAATTCTTGATTTCAAGGTCAGGAAGGGGAGATATGGAGTGTCAGGGCATATAGTTCACATGTAAAATTTCATAGAAACTGGAATACCTCTGCCACCTATGAATCCTAGTGATTTTGATTTGGAAATGAATACAGTGAATGCTAAGAAAAATATAGCCTAATCCTTTGAGAAACTGATATTTTATTGCTTCTATTTTGACTAATTTTCTGGTTGTACTATTTTCCTGAGGGCCATAGAAAAATAACACATTTGGGAAGCTAATCATTTGGATATGTTGTTCTGTTAAGAATGACAGCCTCATTCTTTTTTTTCTAGAAAATCTATGTGATAGAATGATAAAGATACCATCCTAGAATTGGGTGAAGGATCAGTTGTCAAGAAGGATTTGATTTTCAAATACACAGAGGTGATGACTGAGACTAAATCAAGGATGTATTTTCTTAAAGTGTCAGAGAAGAGTGTTAGATTGATGATTGGATTTGGGGGAACATGCTCAGATAGAGACCGGGACATGGAATAAGGTCAGTGTGTAAATGTGGAGAAAGAAGCAATTGTGTTTTTGAAGCAGGAAGACTAAGTTGGTGTGTTACACATCAGCCAAGGGAAGCTCTTTGGCAAGGAGAGGGTGGTAAACAGTTTGATATGCCAAAAATATTAAGAAGGATGAGGATCAAAAAAAACATCATTTGATTTGGTAAAAAGTAGGTCATTCCCTTATTTCCCAGGGCATTGTGGTGGGAAAGTCACTTTCCGCTTCCCTCCAGGTAAGCACTAAGGGGCATTTATGATTTAACCATTATGATTTAACCTTTTCCAGGGAACTTTCAAAAATAGAAAACATATGATTCATCTAGAGAACACAATGAATAATGTAGTAAGTAAGCATGTTATAATCAGTGTAGTATCACTGCAGTTTTCATCAGGGATTTGATGCTTTTCTCATCTAAAGAAGAGGCAAAAATGAATCAAGCTAGGAAAGTCACTTTTACACACATGTTGATAATCCCATCAAAAGAGATTGATGAAAAATAAATATGGCGGCACTAGTTCAATTTTGTAGACAGAAAAGTCACCAAGTATCTTTCCCTATTAATTATACTTGCAGGTAGAAGAGGCCCAAGCACACCAATGGAGAATTTCGCCATTAACACACACACACACACACACACAAATCTCAAAGTACTTTGTACTAAAAGCACAAGTAAGTAGCTTACATTAAAACAATCATTTGAATAAATCAGTGTCTCCAGTCTGCATCACATTGAAAACCATATTTTGGCTTCTTCAGGGGAATAATAAAAGAAACAGCTCCTTGTGTTCCTCTCCAGAGTATTCCCAGCTAATGAGCCGCTGGAGGCCTTGCTGGAAGTTAAAAAACCCATCTTCAGTAGAGGCAGGGTGTGCTGCACCTTGTTGTGACTGAGCACTCATGTCTGAGTCATTCATTCTGTGGCCACAGCTCTGGAAACTGCTTACCCTGTGGCCTTATTCATGTCATCCAATTTCCAATTCATATCAAGTTTGTTTAGCTTTCATTATCTCTCCTTGAACTAAAGCTACAAACAATCTACATCTTTACTTGTTAACATGATAGTTATTAATGAAGATGAAGAATGTATCATCAAAATCACATTGTGGATGCTTCATGAGGCAATAAAAAGTGGAGAAAAATTTTCTCAAATGGACAACTTGATAATCCTATAGAACTTTTCTTTTTAAGAAATAATTGGAATACATCTGAATAGCAAATAATTGTCCTATTAAAAAGCACAGCTGGCTAGAGACAAAAAAGCAAACAATATAAGGGATTCATGGGAAAATTAACAGTGAATATTGAATTTCCTGAACTTTATTTCTAAACCGCCTGACATGCTGTTTTCCTTTGGTCTCCTTGTTTCCCACCTGGGGTTAGTCTTTTCACTGTGTGTGGTGGTTCTCTTTTCATCTTGCAGTTCATCAGTTCTGGGGAAATTTGAATTTTATAATTATTACAGACTGGGACAAAATTCAAAAGTAGGCCAAAAGTGAGAACCTTTCTAATTTTCTCCTTGGGCTCAAGCAATTCTCCCATCTCAGCCTCACAAATATTTGAGACTACAGGCACATGCCACTATGCCTGGTTAATTTAATTTTTTTTTTATAGAGATGGGGTCTCTATGTGTTGTCCAGGCTAGTGTTGACCTCCTGGCCTCAAGTGATCCTCCAGCTTCCGTCTCCTGAGTTGCCAGGATTACAGGTGTGAGCCACTGTGCCCGGCTCTCTGTTTTTTTTTTTTAATTGTCTACTTACATTGTTTCCTTGCTCCAAGAACTATATGTTCTCCTGATCTCCTTTGGCTGCACAAGGACCCAATATTAACAATTCACCCTGTGCTCTCCCCTTTAGCGTTCTGAACTCTGAAAATTTACAAACAGGCTGTCTCCTAAAAACACCTGTCCAGTTCCTGCTTTGCTGAGTGATAGCAAGTTGATACTTTTTAAATTGGTTCAGCATGAATCATACGAAGTCACACATATACCCATTTTAGAAAACACATTGTAGAGAATGACACCTTAAGCTAAAAGAATGATTTTAGTTAAAGAAAACCTAGGCCTCTTGGCCATGGGAATAAACTAAGTCTTAGTACTCCAAATCAGAGCACATCATGATTACTTGCAAGTGGCTACCCCATTATGAAACCTCTTGTGGACAAATGTGAGAGTTTGTATAAGATGGGTTGCTTAGTCTTTTATCTTTTTGTGACCCCTAGGTGGAATATAACAGCATTTTGGCTCCTATTACTGGCAAAGTGGTCAATGTTTGCTCCTGGAAGTTGAACGTTTCAATGGTAAACATTCCAACAATTGAATTATAAATTGGTAGCCTGCCTAGTGTGGTTGATAGTGCCAGCTGGCTTATCTTGAGCCCATGACATTTGACTGTCTTTTGCCTTCCTTTGAACAAGTTATCTCTTAGCCATCTGTCTTATAAAGTGAAAATAAATAGCGATTCAATCTTGCATTGTAATGTATTGTTTTTCTCAGCATGTCATCATGAAACTCATGAATGATATACGGATAAACAACATAAACGCAGGGCGTGGTGTCTGATAGGATCTTTAAGTTGTTAAACTTAGACGTGATTTATGGAGACTGAATAGTAAATTGTATTAACTTTTCATTGTTCAGCACCTTAAATATCCTCTTGGCTAACAAGTGAAGTGGTTTCTGTTCATTGTACCTGAATTTTCCTCCATAGCCCCAGAGCTTGCTTTGAAGTAGAACAAGAGCCCTGTGCAGATGAAGAGAGATGAATTGAATAGCAAGGCAAGAGCAGATTGTGGGATGGGAGATTTCATCGGGTTGCTCATTTACTTGTTCTATACAGTTGCTCTTACTGAAGACAGAATGAAAGGGCATTCCTGTGTCAGATAACCATGCTTGAGCTTCACATTTCAGGCAGGAAGCAATGGATACATGTCCCTGAAATCAATTCAATGTGATTATTTGCTAAGTTTTCATGAATACTAAAAAGAAAAGGTCGGCTGACATAAAAAATGCAATGCAATGGTTCCCTCAGGGGCTAGGCACTGGTGAGGTCTGCATTATTGCTTTTTGATCTCACATTTATCCTTATTCTGAATATGAATAAAATATACTTTGAGATTTAGTTTAAAATTAAGGAAAATTAATGATCCCTTTTGAAAATCAATCTCTGCTGTGCTATTAGTCTTTAAGAAAGTTAAAAAACCTTTGAAACTTTGATTAGGAGTCTACCGTTCCCTCTCTCTTTCTCCCTCTTATATTGTATGGATTTTTCCAGGGGGAGACACCCTGATTTTCCTCGGCCATTGTTTTCAGCATGCACTCTGTAGATGTGGCTCAGTAGGTGACTACAATGTCAAGACAGGTGTATTTCAACCCTCTAATTTTATGTGGAGAGTTAACCTTGCTGTGTGCAAGGTAAGCACTCAGAGGAGATCTAATGTGTGCTGGGTGCATCTTTCCAAAACCTGAAGTTGTTTAATCATTTTGCAAAGTAGCAGCAAATTGAGTGGTTCCCTAACCACTATTTCTGTAAATGTTGTATATTGGACAGTTAATGAAAGAAATGTACAACAAAGTGAGGTCTTTTGTACGTGTACAAGATCATAATAGAACATGTTTCTAGGTGGAAATATATTTACATTTGTATCTTCAGGTAATTTTATTAAAAACAACTTACTGATTATAAGTCAGGAAAACTTTCATCTCCCTGCAATGGTGAGGAATTACGGCGATCCAGCCCCTTGTGAGTGAGGTTATGAATGAGCTGTGTAATTGACCAGGCAGAAGTGCATAGTGATGGCATGGATTATAGGACAGTCAAGTATGACATTCTAATATTCTTATTTAATTGGCTGTGCAGTTGATTGGGATGATTAACATAGTTCTGCATTATAGCCATGGGTGATATCATTTAGGGAAGAATCTGAACAAAAGAATCTTGTGACTTCATTGGCTAGTACTAAACAGTTCTAGGATCTTTGCTGGTCTTAGGGGCATTGGTGGCAGAGCACTTGTGCTTTCCAAAGGCCAGGTTTAAGAAGTGTGGCTCAGCCTTGGACAGCAAGGCAACCAAGGATAAGTAACTTAACCTTGGGTTTTTTCATTAGTAAATTAGAGTTATTAACATGTGCCAACTTAGGTTTAAACACGACACTTAAATTTGGGTCATTGCAAGAATGAAACGAGTATATGAAATAGCTGTAGAGCACTGTGTAAAGGAGTTATTTTTATTCATTACTACATAATACCACTATCAATAGAGACGGTAATGATGTCTTTCTATCTTGATTTGTCTCTCTTCATTGGTACTGATGGATGGGGCCAAACTTGCAGTGAATGAGTTCTTCACTGTGTTTCTTACCTGGATTTTGAAGATCCTGAAAGATAGAATATTGTTTAGAAACAATAACATTTCCCTGGGTCTAATAATTTTTTTACATGAATGTACTTATATCACTGAAGGGAAGTTATTGCCAGTCCTAAACATTCTAGAAAGAAGGCCAGTAAAACTCAGTCATTAAGAAAGTTTTGAAAACCTTTCCCTGCAGCCATCAGAAGGCAGTGATAAGCCAGCCAAGTATGACATATAAATATACTTTGAGTATATAAGCCGATTTGGGTTATCACTCCCTTCTGAAATATAACATGTGCATGTCATTTCTGCCTTTGGTCCTAACAGTTATCATTTCTCTTTTTATTGTGTATAGAATGTCTTCCCTCTCTAGTCTTTCCTTTGTTGAGAACCTAATTAAATGCCACTTTTTCTAAAAATAGACTTTTCTGATTACCTTGGCTATCCAGAAAAAGGACTTTGGTGATTGTGTAATTTACTGATTTCTATTGTTATTTACCATAACTTGTGTATATTATTTACCTTTTAAAGTCAATTATGAATTCTTTGGGGGAAGGAATATGCACTGTACTCAACTGTTAGAAAATAATACTGGAACTTTATGATGACAGGATGATTAGATGAATAAGAAAGGCTACTTTAGTAAGAACTATTTGGGAGCAAACAAAGTTAGCTGGCCAGAGAGAGTTTAAAACATTTATTTGATGGGAAATGTTTTCAAAATAAACTTAAAGCTTGATGAATTTGAGATTAAGAGGGCCAAGTTTTGACTGGAAACCACTAATGTATGACCAAAAGTGTTTAAAGGAAGAAGACAAAAATTCAAGTTTCATATTTAGAAGAGGAAAAATTGAGGGTAAAATTAGACTCATTAGGAGAAGTCTGGTGGGTCCCTTAGTTGTCTTGCCATCTATAGTCAATGCAACATAACTGTTGTATTTTTCTCATAGAAAAATGAATGTATTGCCTATATCTCTTAGAAACTGCATACTGCTCTTTCTTTACAAATGAATCTTCTTCCTATACCAAAATGTTCTCCTTTTTTATGGCAGCATTTGAAGTGATTTTGTGAAGTCCTGGGAAAGAAAGATATGCACAATTGTTGCATTATTTTATTTCATATTTAAATAGTCATCTTCTTATTTTCTTAGCTCTTCTAACCAAAGTCAAACGCACAGAATGTTGAATATACAGCTTTTGAAAAGAACAATTGCTATTAAGATTAGCAGCTTCTATTCTGAATGTTCTTAACAGGACTAGTTCTTGCTTAGCATGTGTCCTTAGTCTTCCCAGTTTTTCAGATAATACCAAGATAATTTGCTTCTTCATGATAGAGATGTATTACATAAAAATGAAGTTACTGATATTGTCCATTCTCTTGCCTTTTAATATTATCTTACTGGTTTAGGTTGACTTGTGGTTTTCTTTCTCAGTGGAATTTTCCATTATATTGCATTTAGAAACAGTATGGTTTCTTAGACTGTAGTTAAAAATGCTCACTGCTCATGGCCACTTGTCTTCAGGCCATAAGGAAGATGCAAATTGACTGCATAGACCATGAAACAGTGTTCAATCACATTGGCTTTTGTAGGCTCACTGTTTTAAGAATTCTTATTGGCAAAATTTGACAAAATGAAAGGATTCTTACTTTTAGAGTCTTTCTGGCTACTTAACTCAGCTTTGGCATGCTGCATTGGTAACAACTCACTTGCATTTATAATTTAAATGTAGTGAAATAGGAAGCAGACTTTCAAATAACTGAATGCGGTTTTTCAGTCAAACTTTTCATCCCCATAACCTTTGGTATGTGATCATCCTGGCCCACCTTCACCAAGAATCCTATGAAGCTGATTGAGTCAGAATCCCCATTATACCTGATTTTTCTCTCAGTAACTTTCCATCCTCTGACGTCACCATCATCCTTGGCTATAAATCCCCACTTGTTCTTGCTATATTTGAAATTGAACCTGGTTTTCTTTCTCCTTTGTAATTGTTCCTGAATAAAATTTGTGTTCACGACTTCAAACTTAACCTGTGTCCAGTTTTGGCTTTCCTTGCCAGGCAATATTTCTATTTCTAGGATCTCTACATAGTGTATAAACTTGAACCAACAATTGTGGGGTTTTTTGGTACCTTTTTCCCCATCCATGAAAAAAAAATAAGAACTTTATACCTGAATTTTTTCAGAGAATAAGTATAATATTTACAGGGCTTGTAGTATAAGGCAGAGACATAGTAAGGAAGAGGAAAGAGAGAATGGTGAGCAAGAATTTATATTCCAGTGGTGATTAATTTGTTGTATTTGAGATATGTCATTATTTGCTAGATATCAGTTAAATTATTTCCTATACATTTTTTAATCTTTTGCAGTAAAATCTAAATATTCCATGGTGAGAGAAGACTGGAAGCTATAAATGCCATGGCATTAGGGGCCCAGGTTATTTTGGGTCATTTTTGCATCCTTAGCATCCAGCCCAGCAGCAGATAGATACAGAGCAGGTGATTAGCAAATATTTCTCTCTCTCTTTTTTTTTTTTTTGCAAATATTTCTTGATTAAGCAAATGAATAAAAATGAAATGAAGGTTCTATTCTACAAGTAATTTTTTTCTTAAAGCTGGTTAAACTGAACTCTTGAAAAGGAGGCTAATTCAAACACTTGGTCATTTCTACTATTGTTTTAAGTAAAAAAAACACAAACAAGTATCTAACTGAGCACCAAAGAAAAGAGCTAACAGCTTAAGTAAACCTGCAAAGGAGTTGATACTGGCTTGCATCCATGGTGATATTTCTAACACCTTGTTTGACTGTTCCACACAATTTTATTTTACTGGTAGCATTTTACTAAAGAAATGGAGACAAACTTACATTAACAGAACACTTCTCTGAGCTTGATGAAAGCATGTTAACTAGACAGATAACAGCAACTTCTAGGAATTTAGTTGCTTCCTAACTCCTGCATAATAGAGACCTAAAGGTGAAAGTGAGAGTTTTATTTAATTATGCTCATAGTAATTATCACAGCCTTACTCAGGGATACAGAATGATCACTTTCTTCATTCTATCATTGCTTTAACTTAACAGATACCATTATTTTTCTGGCCTGTAAAAAATGGTTTATTCTTTTCATCTTTATATCTAGATTGGTGCTACCACTAGAATTTTCGGTGCTGATAGGTATGTTATAATATCTCTATTATCCAACACTGTGGTCATAAACCACGTGTGGCTTTTGAGCCTTTGTCATGTGGCCAGTGCAACTGAGAAACTTGATTTTTAACTTAATTAAAATTTAAATTTAAATAGCCATATTGGCTAGTGGCTCCCATATTGGCCAGGGTAACTCCAGACTGTAGCACCAGTGTTCTGTGGTGGTATCTGGCTTTGGGCCAGATAGCATCAGAGTTTGAACCCCAGTCCTGCTATAATATTTACAAGTTATGGGAATTTTGCCACGTTTCAGGGGATGACTTCACACACACACACACGCACACACACACACACACACACACACCCCTCTGCAGCCTAAGTAGACTTATGAAGGAGTCAATGTCTAAATTATGTGTCTACAAGAGTTACTGATATATGTTAGACCAACAATGCTCCTCAAAGACCTCTCACTTTCTGGATATATTATGAATAATAATTACAGTTTGTTAGGGAATTACTTTGGGCCAAACATTGTGCTGAACACCCTCTGTACTTTAATGTTAAGCAAAGTGACTAAGGCAGCATGTGATGAAGCCTAGCTTTAAGCCCAAGGCTCAATCCAAAACCTATAGGTTTATTATCATAAATATGGGGTAATAATATATATTGTATATAACATATTATAAAATATATTTAGATATATTTATAATATATTTTAAATATGTATAATATATAATTATATATAACATACACCATAATATGTAAATATATATATATTACCCCAACTTTGCCTTTTAGCTTCCTGAGTGTGGGAAAAATGGCTTATCCTTCTTTCTTGGCAGAGCACTTTGAATTTAACAGGAGCTCAATATATGTGGATTTATCATTGGCTTATTTTGTACAGAAGGCATTGATGAATAAGAAGGAAGACAGCATGTTGGGGGTGGCAGTTCACTCCCTAGAGAGTATCAGTGCAACAGTGTCTCCTTTTCACTTGCTTCGGAAGCTCAGAGAACCCAAGAGCACTGTGTGATAGGCTGCTTTTACAGAGAGGTATTGGAAGATTAGAACCTAGATCTCAATGCCTCCTGCAATGATTCATAGCAACTTGGCCAGAGACCAGTATGTAATTAGAAAAGCCTCAGGACATATTTCAGAGTATCCACTTGCAAAAAAACCCATTTCCGAGTGCTAACATTATTGTAGGTTGTCTTTTGCTACATGATTTTATTCTTACTTTGTTAAAAACCAAAATAAATTTTTGGTTATTTTTCTTGTCACCGTTTGATTCCTGGAATAAAAATAGCAGGGCCCTGAATCACAGAATGAGGCCAAAAGACTCTGACAGCTGCAGCAGAATGGGGAAATTGGTTATGCTCACTCAGAAGAGGTGATTGATGCTCCTCCATCTCATGTGATGCCGGGGGGCATGGGCATAGTTTCATGATAAGCTCTCCCGAGGTAGGCAGGGAGCTCATATGGACTGTGATTCTAGCCATTGGCTCTACCTTAGCCTGGGCTCCCTGTTAAGTGTGGACACCAATATTGACACTAGACAACACACAAAGTGTGAGGATAATGTAAGACAGTTAGGACTGTTTCTTGCAGATGGTAGGTAAGTCTTTGACTCTGCATCAGGAAGGAATGAGCTTGGCTATAAGAACTCATAATAGCTGCTATTCTGGGCCCTGGTCAGCTCTTTAGGCTCAGATAGAAACCTCCACACTCTCTTTGATAATAACAATTTTAGAAGGGGCAAATAGAACCATATTCGGGTTCTGTGTTTACCTTATTTCTCAATGACATAATACTGTTCTGAATGCTGGGTGCTCTATCAACATAAGAATAAAAAGGGAGACTCTTCTGGTGCTGACAACAAAGTGTGACTGTCAAAACCTGGCCATTCCTCAGTAGGCATGTGGCCCCGCTCTCAAAGTTGCATCAGTAAGAATGGCCCAAGATCAATTTCTCTGAAAATCTAGTCATTATTTTTTGGCAGGCATTCTCTAAATATAATTGGCTTATCACAAAAATTCAATGTAGCAGGTTAACTAATTTAGTTACTTGGGATTACATTTTTAATTCAATTTATCTTGGAGGTAGACCAAGAAGTTACCTTCATTAAAATTAGATGTCCTTTGACTGCAAGCTGGAAAGAAGTTTTAAATGGTTTAAATAGGCAGTTTATAACACCTGCTTTAAAATTCTCTAGTAGAAAATACTTATTTATAAGCTTGATAATGCAAAACTTTGAGACCTTTTGTTTAAGTGGATCTGATGTTGCTGTTGAGATACATGACCTTTTCTGCCAACCTTTCCTTTACCTACCTGATGGGTAAGTTTCAGAGCTTCCTATTAAAGCATAAATCCATAAATTTTATTAAGGGGTTAAAATCCTAGTCTTTTTCTTTGTTTAGGCACAAAATAAATCAATCTGTCTTTAATTAGTGGTGTAGATTATCTGAAAATGCTTTCCAAAGAGCTTTAACTCTTAGCTGTAGGATATCTTAGCTTAGATATCAGGCTAACATATTTCTTCAAGATGACTTGAAGTTTGAAGTGCATGTAATAATCTATTCTTATTGTTCTAAATTTTGGAAGTCTTAGATCAAGTTAGACCACTATAAAACCACATATTTAGAGAATCAGACAATAGTTTTGGCCTATTTTTTTTCTTTCTTTTCTTTTTTTTTTTTGCAGACAAGAGTCTGGCTCTATTCCCCAGGCTGGAGTATGATGGCATGATCTCAGCTCACTGCAACCTCTGCCTCCCGGGTTCAAACAATTCTTATGCCTCGGCCTCCCCACTAGTTGTGATTACAGGCACCAGCCACCACACCTGGCTAATTTTTGTATTTGTAGATATCATAAATGGGATTACTGTCTTGATTTTTTTTCAGATTGTTCACTGTTGGCATAGAGAAATGATGCTGATCGTTGTGTGCTGACTTTGTATCCTGCAACTTTATGGATTTGTTATTCAATTCTAATAGGTTTTTGGTGGAATCTTTAGGTTTTTCTAAATGCAAGATCATATCGTCTGCTAACAAGGATAATTTCACATCTCCCTTTCCAGTTTGGATTTCTTTTATTTCTTTCTCTTGTCTGATTACTATAGCTAAAACTTCTAGTACTATGTTGAATAACTGTGGTGGAAGCGGGCATCCTTGTCATGTTTCAGATATTAGAGAAAACGTTTTTAGTTTTCCCCCATCCAGTATGATATTAGCTATGGGTCTGTCATCTATAACTTTTATTTTGTTGAGGTATATTTCTTTTATACACAGTTTTTTGAGGGTTTTCCATCATTAGTTTTTTAAGTCATTACTTCCCAAACTGTGTTCTGCAGAGTCCTTTTCTAAGCAGACCACTAACTGGCACATGGAAAAAGCTTGCTGGCCCCTTTTTTGGTAACCATCACATTGATGGCTATGTGTAGTTGAACAGTTAAGAAGAAACAAATGTTCACTTTATTCAAATCCTGAATTTGCAAATATTTCTTACATCATGTGTGTGGTATGTGGGACATGATAATTAATGTCTGGCAGAACAGCATCAGTCAGATACCAGTGTGTGAAATACTGCTGCAGTTTCATGATTTTCCTCGTTACTTTGCTTTGGTTGCCAAGAGGCTGAGAGAGAGATTTGGAAAATTTTAGACTTACATTCCCCAGCCTGCGACCTGGATAAGGTAGCCATACATGTGTTGGAAAAATTTCAAATTCCACTTCATCCCACCTGCTTTGTGAACTCTGGCAGGGCTGTTCCTGCTGGGTCCCTGTCCCCACAAGAATGCACGGTGTCATGATTCCTCTTTGTCAGCAATCACCATAGCAGGCTCTGCTTAGCTTTTCTCATTTATCTTAACTACTTATCTCTTTCTATTCTGGGTATTTTACTGACTTATGTTTTACTTTCAGTTTAGTTCTTCCAATGACCTGCAGTGAATACAGGTCCATAGACTTATCAACCAATCTCGCATTTACTTGTTTCTAAAGCTTTAATATCCAATCTCTTCCAATGAGCCTGACTCAATGGATCTTCAACCCATACTTTATATTGTAATATCATCTTTTTATGACTTTTATTTCTATTGTCTTATTTTCCTTCCTTCATTTTTTTCTTAAAATTTCCAACTTATTTATTATCCCATTTTCTTATACATATCTCTGAATTCTGGCTCAAGCCCTTCATGTAATGAGATGATGGTACAAATAACAAATTAAGTATTTTTCATAATTAATTGAAAATAAATAGGTTGTTTCCTTTCTAATACCTGAAAGGTTATAGTCAGGTGGAGGTGGGGATGACATCATGGCTGGGGTATGAGTGGGAGAGTCGCCTGATCATTCTGGAGCATGGGAGGTGTTAAGCAAAGCTGGATAAGCATGAGGCTCTTTGAGGCCCTCAACACCATGGAGTAAAACAGTATTTCCTGGTCTGACCGACCTTAGCAGAAATCTCAGCTTTGTGCCTGACCAGATGTGTCTTCTGGGTCACAGCCATGCAAGAGAAACCTTGGCCATGCTGGCCGTGGCATCTCAGGATAAGGTGTCAGCTCCCTCCCAAGTGTGTGATTTGCAATCCTGACTTTGCGGCAACATGCAGGCCCAAGCACCTGCCAGCACATGCCACCACAGTGTGTCCCCTTACTGCTCTCAGCCGCACTCACAGCGCTGACTCCAGCTACTCTGCCAAAATTTTGGGAGAGATTACTTGTGTGCTTACTTCATTGGTCAAAATTCTTTTCCAATTGAAATTGAGTGACCTACAATTGTCTTTTTTGCTTCCTGGATACTCTGGAGTGACACAATAGAGTGCATTGAGAACAGATGTTTAATTATTGAACAGAGCCCTGCCTCTGAACTGCCTGACTAAAAGAAATACCACAGACATATTTCTGGCCCTGATGCCTCAGATTTTGTTTTATGCCTTGATTTGTCAACATCCATTTGTCTTTTTCAAAAGTGAAGTAGAGAATTTCATAAAAATTTTATTTGTCTTGCATTGGAATGAACACACCTCATTTATCTGATTGAAGTTGTCTCCTTTTCCCAGTTTTATTCCTCTAACACCACTACAAATTCAACACTTTGGAAACATCTCTTTTACACACGTTACAGTATAAAACCCTTTAATGACTCCTGTTACCTACAGGTTAAAATCTAAACACATTATTATTTTTGGATTTCCAATTCTCCAAAGTTTGGGTCCAGTTTTTATTTTTAGTCTTATTTTTGATTAGTACTCGTTTCACAAACCATTTGCTCCAATCACACTAACTTTCTTATTTGCTGCTTTAAGTTTTTACCTTGAATGTGTTCGAAAACTGGTCTTTAATGTACATAAATAACACAAATAGTAGTAGAAGTAGTAGAAATAATGGTGACCACATTGAAGTGTTTGAATCATGTACTTTTTTTCCTGTCTTTCAACTATTTGTCATTTGTCTTCTTTTTACACATTTCTTCACGTATCCTAACCTGACGTCAGGGTCCTCTCAGCTCCCTTTTGTCTGTTATGCTTTCTGGACCACTGTGGCTATAAATAAACTGTCTTTCCTGAGCTACTTTGATTCTTACTGTCTAATCATTGGTGACCACATTTTGGGCAACTTCTGCAACCAGGTGCCCTGTGTGTGTGTGTGTGTGTGTGTGTGTGTGTGTTTAGAAAGTTTTCAGCTTTTAAGAGTGAATTATGTACATTCTTTAATGTGAATGGCACCTACTTCAAACCTTTTGTGGGATGTGTTGATTATATATAGAAAATTAAATTCTGATGTACTTAATACATACCTGGGCACACATGAGTAAATAGGAGCAATAAACAAGAGGAACAAAAACGCTTACATGCAAATGGCAGGTAATGACTCCTACCCACCTGTCACCAAAGCCACTCAGAAGATTTCTGTGTTCTGTCTCCTCCCCGTTCCTCCTCTTACTTGCAGGCCTCCATTTTGATGGGTGGTTCTGATCTGGCAAAGTAAAATGAGGACTGTGAACTGAGTTGCATTAATATAGTTCTAATTGAAAGTAGTCCACGTTTAACATTGAATTTATTGTGTAATATTTAGTTACAAGATTTTGTGTTGATGAATTTGCTTTTTTAAAAAAAATAATTGTGAGATGTAAACAAAAATTTAGAGGAGATCCATATTTACTCTTATGCATTTTTCCAGATGTTTTGGCTCAGTCCTTCAAGCAATATACTAATGACAAGAGTAAAATCAATGGGGATAACTTAGGGATGCAAACACGAAAGCTTTACTCTGTTAGACAACTTGATAATTCACGTTCAGATTAAAATGAAGATAAATGTGCCGTCATTCTAATTTAATGGTTTGGCTTGTTATTTTCTCTGAAGAGAGGCTGTGTGATTCTTTCTGAGGTCAACTGGGGATTTCTTGGAATAGTAGAGGGAGACCTGGCTCAGAATGTAATGCAGACCTCCTGGGAACTGGCTGCAGCAGCAAGATGCCTCTCCCTCAGGCTGCAGCTACACCTGCATTTGGGAGAAATGCAGATCTTGCTTTGGGATTTAACCTACTTGCAGTTTGTGGAAAATATCCAAATGGAATTACGAAAGCATTACCTAATTATAACAACACATTCATTTTCCTTGACCGTCTTTAGTTTTGACTCGTTCGAATTTGTTTATTTAAAGAAAGTTGGTAGGTGGCAATTTTTGTGTGCCATGTGTGGTGTGTATGCATGTGATACTGACCTAGCTAAAAATATTTGCACATGCCCACAGGCCATTGATAAAATAAGAGTCAGCATAGAAACAAATCAATTTATGCTATGTGAGGATCCCATTTTCTTTGTACAGATAGAATGGTTGAATCAGGATGTATGATACTCTGGTGCTTTTCTGAATTTTACTGCACCACCTGCAGCCTGTCTTTGGGCACCTGAAAACCCTTCAGAAGCAACGATCTCTGTGTGTGATGTCCTGCACCCTGCTGGATTCACGCTGTGATGTTGTACATTGTCTCAGGGGAGGAGAAAACCAATAGAGTTTAGACAGTGGCTCAGTTTTGCTCTGGAATATGGGGGGAAAAGAGCCTACAAAAATTTGCATACGGTCTCTATTATTTTGTAATTGTGGAATTATTACTATTTTTCATTTAAGTCACCCATTCAATGCACTTTTTTTTTTTTTTTTTTTTTTTTTTGAGACGGAGTTTCGCTCTTGTTACCCAGGCTGGAGTGCAATGGCGGGATCTCGGCTCACCGCAACCTCCGCCTCCTGGGTTCAGGCAATTCTCCTGCCTCAGCCTCCTGAGTAGCTGGGATTACAGGCACGCACCACCACGCCCAGCTAATTTTTTTGTATTTTTAGTAGAGACGGGGTTTCACCGTGTTGGCCAGGATGGTCTCGATCTCTTGACCTCGTGATCCACCCGCCTCGGCCTCCCAAAGTGCTGGGATTACAGGCTTGAGCCACCGCGCCCGGCCCCAATGCACTTTATAAGACCTAAATGAGAGTGAGTGTTTGGGGGCATTGGGACTCCTGGAGCTTTTTCTTAGTTGGAGGATGACAATTTTAATTTTTTTCCTTCCTTTTAGACTTCAAAATTAGCCTGAAAGTAATTGAGAAGCCAATTCCAGAATTCTGGAGCTAACTGCCATGGATATTACATGCAAAATCAATGGATAATCCCCATATATTTTATATGTCATAACAACTATTTTATTAACCTTTGTGGAAGATTTCAGTTTTCTTTGGATCTCTGAACAGGCCTATTTACACATTTTTTAAGGAGAATAAAACAGATTTGTAGTGTGAAATCTGGTGTAGGAAGTGCTGATAATAATTAAAGAGGAGGCCAGGCGCGGTGACTCACACCTGTAATCCCAGCACTTTGGGAGGCCCAGGCTGGCGGATCACTTGAAGTCAGGAGTTGGAGACCAGCCTGGCCAATGTGGCAAAACCTCATCTCTACTAAAAATACAAAAATTAGCCTGGTGTGGTGGCATGCACCTGTAATCCCAGATACTTGGGAGACAGAGACAGAATTGCTTGAACCTGGGAGGCGGAGGTTGCAGTGAGCCAAGATTGTGCCCGTGCACTCCAGCCTGGGAGACACAGTGAGACTCCCTCTCCAAAAAAAAAAAAATTAGGAATAAGAAAACAAGAAGGAGGTAATGAGGTAATGGTACATGCAGAATAGAACATACACATGCACACAAACACACACACACTGGGATTTTAAAATTAGTCTTGAGAGAAGGAGGATGACCTTGTCATGGCTGTGAGAATCCCACTGGAGAGAGCCAGAGTGCTTTGCTATGTGCTGGCATGAGGAGAGAGATGGAGAGATTGTACGTACACTGTATACAATCAATAGGAAGGAGTTGGGAGCACAGCCATGTGGACACACTGAATTTTCTTCCTTAGGCTGTGCTAAGTGTGCTAATTTGGGTTTCTAAAGTTTTTTCTCTCTTAAGTATCAAGTAAACTTGGCATAATAAAGCATGATTAAACAGGGAGGCTAGAGGAAATATGCATTCCATCTTTCAAGAGGAGCCCACAAACCGAACCTTGCTTTGCACACTGCTCTGGTGCTCATCCAGGTATTTGTTTCCCCTCAAAACAAGTATTTGCTGTTAGGGAAATCTTAAATCATGGGCTGGTGTTTCCCTTTGGAGGGACTTGTATTTGGGTAACACTGCCCTCTGCCCCTCATCCTGGACATTCCTCCAGGATGGCATGTCCCTTCCCTGACTGATGAGAAGGAAGAACTGGCCATGCTTGGCTCAGTCCTGCCAGCTTCCTTTTTCTCTCTCCCTCAGGGTCATCTGCCTGTCCACAGCACGCATTCTCATCTGCTCTTTGGAGCCCAAATCTTTACCTTTACTAATGACTAGCTGTGTAATCTTGAAGAAATGTCTCAAATTTTTGGTGTCTCACTTTTTTGTTTTCTAGCTTGAAAGTAGATGTGTTAATAGACTGCCTCCTTGGATATTGCATGGAAGAGTCTTTAATTAGTTGAAGATAAGGAAGACTTTTGTAGAGATAAAACAGATTAAGCACAGCATACACTATTTCTCACCTCCAGAGATGTGCCAATACATCCACAAATATGTGTTTTATTGAAGGGGTGATATTAAAGGATAGAGGTGTTGCGTGTACCAAAATATGTCTGTTCCTAATGGACATTTGATAAATGTTTGTAGGATGAAGCCCTAATTGAAAGAAGGAAGGTATATTTTGAAATGTCTCCAGATGATTCTGCTAAGTACTCCTTTTCCTCTCCTTCTACAACACACACGTGTGCTCACACATACACACACACACGCACACACACACCACATTTGTGCATATAAGCACATCACCTATTGAGAGTCATTGTGACACATATGCTTTCTAAAGACAGCAGGCTGGCAATTTCTTTTCCCTCTTGACAAGCACTGTTAAGAATATACTTATTTTGTACTATTTTAAAAAGTCATATTTACAAACCACTAGCATTTTCTAAATTATATTCGACAGCTTACACTACTTGCTTCATGATCCAAATATAGTATATTTAATAGATAGCAATGTCCTTCTCAATCACTGTTGAGTCATAAGGCCCTGAAGGGAAGATTGGCTCATGGGAATCGCTCTGTCATACAGGTAAAACAAAAGCTGGGACATGACCTTTGATTTCCTCCTTCTGTTATAATAATAGATTAAAAAAAAAATTCAAACTCAAAATCTAAGCAGCCTTCCATGATATATTCACTAATAGAATATATTATAGCTAGATACATGTAAATATAGATCTTTAGAATATCTTCATCTAAAATAATTATTTGCAGGCAACACATCTATCATTTAGGTTCAATTGGAGAAGCCTGGATTATAGCTTAACAAGGTGTCTAGTCACTCATTACTAATTTTCTTTACTTGCCTTTTAATTCAATTTTGAAAATACGCACAATATTAGAGATTTCCTCCTTGGATGTTATATGGAATGGTGAAATAATACCTTTTAGTAGTTGAGAAATGTGGAGGATTTAAGAGGGTTAAGTTCAAAACAATATAAGCAAGGAGTACACAGGCTTGGGTAAAAAAACAAACAGGTTATTTATATGTGGCTTATAATTAGATCATGTAGTTTGATATCTAAAAAGTAACGCTCAGATATGTGGTAAAGTAGGGAAAATAAATACAATTTACTCAATCCATTTCTCTTAGATGGAAAGCTGGTAACATATATTCTTTTTTTAGTCCAGGGATAAACATAATACATGGCCCCATAATTACCTCCATTTCTAGTGTGTTCTCTGTGCTGCAGGCATGATAATAGGTGACTGGCAAGCATTGGCTAATTTTATTGACAAAAAATTAATGTGGCAATAATATGTTGGCTCTGGTTTATTAAATAGAAGAAAAAATAAGCATTTGATAAATAAATTGGAAAGCATGATCTCTTTAACAGAAAATAAACTTTATTAAACATTTTGCTGTGCTAGGTCTATGACATTTGAGAAGAAAATTTTACAAAGATTTTGGAAATCCCCAAATCTACATATATGTCTTTCCATAAAGTACACATACAATGATTTTGAGAACGGCAAAACTCATTTGGAAAGCACATGCTGAAAGATGGGCTTGGTTAACCCACTGAGTGCCCACTCATGTTCCCATACTCACATGTACACTTATAGGGGTGGGACTCCAGGTAGTACATGTGACAGATCAGAAATGTGAGAAGACAAGGGGGCTCATGAACCGCTGAAGTTACAGATATTCAATTAATGAAGGCATGTGTCTAATCTTTTTGCATACTTGTTTGTGTGTATTTGAATAATGTTATATATACAGATTTGTATCTGGCATTTCCCCTTATATGCATTTCCATGTCATTAGAAGAATTAAAATTTCTCTGTCACAGAGAAAAATAAAAGCCATTTGTAATGTTGACTAGATATTTTATGTTAATAATGATTAATTTTCAGTATAATAATATTGTCATATTCTGAAAGTTTTATCTTGGAATCACACATGCTGAGGAATTTATAGATGTAATAATATCTCAGGATTTTACTTTAAAATATGTACTTGAGAGGGGCAAAGTAAGGGGAGTATCAATGAAGTAAGTCTGGTACTGTGTTAATAATTGTTGAAGCTAGCTGATGGAAACTATGGAATTTATTCTGTTCTCTGTATTTTGCAAATATGTAAACATTTCCATGATTAAAACTTAAAATTCTTTTTTAATAAATTTAATTTCTAGTGGCTTTTTGATGGTGAAAATAAGGATATATTTATGTAATCATTTATATTATACAGTTTGGGGATATTTTATAATTTTTTTTATTTTCAAGATCATATGAGAAATGGTAATCCACATTTCTCTGTGCATAAAACTTTACCAACATTTAAAATTATTTTGGGGGGAGAATTTTGGTAGCATAATATTACTGCACCAGGCCAGGTGCAGTGGCTCACACCTGTAATCCCAGCACTTTGGGAGGCCGAAGTGGGTGGATTACTTGAGACCAGGAGTTTGAGACCAGCCTGGTCAACATGGAAAAACCCCCATCTCTACTACAAAATACAAAAATTAGCTGGACATGGTAGCACACACCCATAGTCCCAGCTACTTGGGAGGCTGAGGCACGAGAATTGCTTGAACCCAGGATGTGGAGGTTGCAATGGACTGAGATTGTGCCATTACACTCCAGGCTGGGCGACAGAGTGAGAATCTGTTTACAAAAGAAAAAAAAAATTACTGCACCAATGAGAGTAATGATTTAAAAGTGATATGCACTTTTCCAGTTGTTTCCCAAGTAGATTTAATTGTTTCCCAAATAGACTGGATATATTTTCTAATATTATGAGAATGCCAGAGCCACCTCATATTATTAGTATTGCCTATCTCCATTTAAAAACATATCTTAAATTAATAGATCATTTTATTATAAATATTAGAATAGATAATTCTTGAATTATGAAAAATATGCTGGTTGTAGAAAATTTGGAAAGTGCAAAAACATCCCAACACTAAAAGAAAAACCAGTGTTGAAGTGCGAATTTTTCCTAACAATCTTTTTTGAAAATATTTTGAACTATTCTCTGCTGTTCAGTTATAATGATAGCTGGAGGCATTATACAACTTTATTTTGTAACATACTTTTTCCAGTACAGATGTGAAAATTTTCATATCTATTATTTAGTACTGCAATGTCAAATAAAGTTAGAGGGAAGTTTCAGAAAAGAAGATAAATTTGTAAAAGACCATAGTCCCTGTGATGAAAAGTCGTAGGACGTGTTTCCATGTGGCACTGGTTAGAAAGAAAATGTAGGAAGAACGTCAGGGTTTCTGAGTCAGCTTCCAGATGCATGTCTTCACTTTCTCTTCATCATACCCAAATGAAGATCTTGTTTGAAATTTACAGATAGAGAAGCTAAGGCATGGGAGATACAAGATTCTTCAGAAAGTGATCAGAGCCTCCTGATGTTGCTTCCGGGCTGTGCCCCTTCCCGCTCCCTCCTGTTTTGGCTTCTTGCCAGGCTGGGTGTTCCTGGTCCCTGCAAAGCTTGCACTTTCCTGAGTCATTACTGTGCAATCTGTTGACCCTTCTTCTTGAGATACTGTTTTCTTCTATTTTGTTTTTTAACTGTAAAGTTAATGCATACTCTTGGGAAAAAAATTGTAACAGAATTGAAGATTATAATTGAAACATAGTTTATACACAGTTTTATATACCACTTTGTCTTAATACTATGAACATGTTTTCTGTGTCCTTCGAATGCCTGTTAATACCATTATTGTGGTTACAAGGGGTGTAGCCACATTCTAAGAGTGCATCACTGTTGACTTAATGCTCCACTGTATCCTCTAATTAGGCCTCAGCCTTGGCTGTGCTCCTGCCTAAAGGTGACCAGCTTCTACCTCAGAAGATCAGGCTCTCCCCTTGGCTGCCTCCTACAGCCAGTCTAACCAGCCACGCACCCTGAGTTTCTGTTGTTGTTGTTTTTTTTATGTTTTTACCCATTATTTCACAGTTTGGATAAAACAATTAACTATGGTTGCAGTCTGTCTCCCCAAATAATGAGGCTGGAAGTCATAATCTGAAACTATGAATGAATTAATTCCTTGTTGGGGGAAAATTGAGTAATTAGGATAAAAGACCTTGGAAGAGCTGGAAAGATTCATTTCCTTTTCTCCCTTCCTCTGATGAACAAACTGTTTCAGGCAAGGGATCTCACATACCTCTGCAGCCCCTCTGAGATGTCCCTCATGGCCACATGGGCGCACCCGGCAAAGGGCCTAACTTGGGAAGCTGTGGCCAGGATGGTATACCTCACTTTGCATTGCTTCTCAGCCCTCCCTTCTTTGCTGTTTCCATCACCTTCTTTCCGTGAGTTTGCACTTCCTTAAACAAAATGGGAGCATTTTTACTCATTGCCTCGGACCAGGCTTTTTAGGGAACCTGAGCTCAGGCAAAGACCTAGATGCAGAGGGAGTTAAAATGTTCCAGGAAGGAGACACAGAATGTACAAAAGCTTTGTGGGGTGAGGGAGCATGAGAGGGTAAAAGTAAAGGCAGGTTGAAATGAAAAAAAAAAAAAGTAAATGTGAAATGTGATGGAGAGGAGGGGAAAGGAAGAGGAGGGGTGTGTGATGTAAACTAGCTGGGGACAAAATCCCAGAAGGTGATGTGGACCCTGGAAGCAGTCTGATCTTGATTCTAAGGGCAACGGCAATGTACTGTAGGGCTTTAGGGAGGATGGCAGTGGGACAGAGATAGGATAGTGCAATTAGTCCATTTTCACACTGTAAAGAACTGCCTGAGATTGGGTAATTTATAAAGAAAACAGGTTTAGTTGACTCACAGTTCTGCATGGCTGGTGAGGCCTCAGGAAACTTACAATATGGCAAAAGGGGAAGGAAGGATGTCTTACATGGGTGGCAGGTGAGACAGCATGTGAAGGAGGAACAGTCAAACACTTATAAAACCATCAGGTCTCATGAGAACTCACTTACTGTCATGAGAGCAGCATGGAGGTCCGCTCCCATGATCCAATCACCTGCTTCCCTTGACACTTGGGGATTACAGGTCCCTTCCTCAACACGTGGGGGCTACAATTCGAGATGAGATTTGGGTGGGGACATAGAGCCAAACCATTATCAGGGTAGTGCCACTGGATTTGAATTTTGAAAAGACCACTCTGGTTATGCAGGGAAGAGTAAGTTGCATGAAGGAGGTTTGCAGTGTGGTTATTGCTTGATCAGTTGGGAAGTGATGGCATGTTAGTGGAGAAAGATGACCTTAGCTTGGTACTGCGGGAATAATGGAGATGGAGAAAAATGAGGGATATTTGGGAGGTAAAATGGTTAGATATGTAACCCACGGCAGTGGAGGAGTCTTAGATAACTTCTAGGTCTTTATATTCAGCTATTTATTGGATGCTGGTGGCATTCACAGAGGTAGCTAACACTGGGAGAAGAAGTGGTTGAGGGAAGATCAAAAATTTAGTTTTGGAACTACTATGTCCTATGAACAGTGTGATATTCAAATCCTACCTCAGAGAAGAGATCTAGGTGGAGGTCAAATGTTTGTGAGGTACCTGGTCTAACTACTCCCTGAAGTTCCCTGAAGCTGGGAGAGTGAACAGATGGTAAGGAGAGGCAAGCTGACCTTACCGTCCTGGGATTTTATGTGTTCAGAGGACTGAGAGTACTGTATGGATTGGATTTTGCCTTTTGCACAGTACATCTGAGTAAAAGAAGAATTGCCTGCCCTGCAACCCCCTGCCCCAGATCTGAAGCTGAATTACACACTAATGAGCACATGTCTGGTCCAAATTAGGTCTAGAATGCATATGTCTAATGTGGGCCTTCTGACTAATATTCAGTCTTTACTGAATATTAGTGGGCCATTTTATTTTTCAAATAATTGGAGTCATGCTGTAATTTTTCCAGTGAAATTCCAGTCACTATGACTAGTGTCTCTGCCCTTGATCACACTGATTTATAGAAGTTATCTTTTTCATTTGTAAAGCATTTGTTGTGTTTATTATGAGTGAGATACTAAGTAGGGCACAATGTAAATATGACATGGACCTTGCTCATTAATTTTCAGCAAGATAAGAGATTATATTGTCCTTCTTCACACTGACTTATGGAAGAGCCCATATGCAGAAGTCCAGCTTCTACACTTTCTGCATTGCTGTCTTTAAGAGCTTTCAGTCATAGAACAGATTTTGATAAATGGGTAGTGATCCAGTTTTCAGAAAATAGTGCCTATCCTGTGGTTAAGAGGGTAGAGCATGGCTGGGTGCAAAGAGATGGGTATGGCTGACCATTTTCCTGTAAGTTGTATACTCCATACAGTATTTCTGAACTAGGTTAGTTATACCAACTTATAAGATGACATTTCTGAGGACAGGTATAGGTCACTGATTATGTTTAAAACTGAAATGTTATCTACTCTATAGTTAGAAATTTTCTCAGACTCTTGCAAAGTGTTTGCTAATAGCTTGCTTTTCCATGTGATTCAGATTTTGTCTTTATAGAGATGTGGGTTGGAAAGTGAGATGTGGCATATCATAATCAGATACATATTGCTGGGAGGCTATCTTAAAGCTTCATTCTCAATCACTTTTATATATTTTGGTGCTGATATAATCAGTAGGATTTCATATTCTAGAGAGTAAATTTGCTAAACTAGATGAACCAAGACAGTACATTATTAATGTATTCTTTAGTATTTAGAATCTTAAACATCAGCAGGACATGGGAAGTTATTCCTGACTTGACAATCATTTTTTGGCCTCTTCAATAGGTAGCTTTGGCTCTTGCTTTCAGTGCTTTCAGGAATTAAGGCTCATGTGGACAGTGACAGTGATATATTTGTTCTTTTTTGTATGTTAATTATCAATTCCTATTATCATTTATGCTTCATTATTTTTTTGCAACTATTTTAATAGCCACTCCTACATGCAGAATAGCCACAGCATTCTTTAAATTTTTTTTCTTTATTTAGCCATGAGTGTCAGCATTAATTAAATCAATATTGAATAAAGGGATATGGAAATAGTCTATACAATTTTTTTATGGCCTCTCTACTGTTTTCTTCAGAATTTTGTGGCATAGAAGAATTTCCTTTCATGAAAGGAGTTTTATCCTTTGAAGATATGAAGGACTGCTGTTTTAGCAAGTCAAAATGTGACCTGGGAATGATCAATGGTTTTGATTTACCATCTTGTATTACTGGTTAAAAAATGGAAAATTGGAAAGATGCATGTATTTTTTAAATTAGTTAATTACATTTGGATGGTCTCATAATAGTGAATCATTTTGCTGGAAGTGATATAGTAGGATTAATTCCCTTTATCCTAGATTGCATTTAGGTCTTTGAAATATTGCTCCACATGTGAACTGAGTTTTGGGGGGTGAAGTTTCTTCTAAAAGTTATCTGCCTCACTTATTTGCAAAGCATTTGCTGAATGTTTATTATAAGTGAGGCACTAGGTAGGGAAAAACATGGATAAGAAGATATGAGTCCTCCCCATTGGTTTATCAGCAAGGTAAGGTATTTCAGGCTTCCTCTTACACCAAATTTGGTGGATATTTACAGTAAGTGAACCTGATCACAATAAGCTGCTTTACCAAGCCTGGTGAGAGAACTGACCCACAAGTTAAGTAATGTAAGGGATAGCTAAAAGCCATGATATCAATTTTAATAAGTAGTAGAAAAAAAACTATTAATCGTGTTAACAAAGTAACATTAGCTGTATTTCAATCCATATGGACCTTGATTTACAGAGGTCCTGTATAACTGGAATTAGAATTCTTAAACTTCTGGAATTAGAACTTTTACTGGTCTGTAAACAGAATCAACTAGAAATCCTCCTTCAAAATCTACTGGGAATTTTGGGGTGTGCATTTAAGATGAAAGAAAGGCAAGAATTTAAAAAAATTGATTATCTATGCAGCTATGTGTTTTAGATATATTTTCTATTTATATTGTGGGTTGGGTGGCATTTTCTCCATCTCAGGTGAAGAAACTGAGGCTTAGGGTGGCCAAGTACTCTTGTTATAACTTGGGTGAATTTGAGAGTGTCCCATGTCCGCAGGAAGGGTGGCAGTTCTCAGAGTCAGGGAGGTGCACTGGACAGAGAATCCTCTGTGTCCAACATTGTGTTCTACATTTTTCAGGGATGTAATAAACACAAATGAAATACAATGCAGTCTAAAACTGAACTTGTTACAGTTCCCTCCCAGCCTCATCTTCCACTGTATTTCATATCTTCGTTGAATATCATCTACTTCTCTTCTATCCTAGAAACAAGCATCATGGTCACCATCATATCTAGCTACTATTTTATTTATTCAATACCCAACAGGTGAGGATATGTAACAGACATGTTATATATTATATCATTTAATATTTACAACTACTACTACTGAGCATTCTTATTTATTCCTATTTCATATTGGATGAAACTCAGGTTTAGGAAGGAAAAATCACTTTCTCAAAACCTCAGTTAGTGAACAGAAAGACCATGACTCAGACTCAGGTATACCTCGCCCAAAGCTGAGGCCTTGTATTGTGCAGTAATTGGTTCCTACCTGGTCAAAAGTTTATGTCACTTGAGCTCCGAAATATCTTTCTTTCTGGGCTTTTTCCCCCTATTTTTTTTTTTTTTTGAGATTCAGTCTCACTCTGTTGCCCAGGCTGAAGTGCAGTGGTGCGATCTCAGCTCACTGCAACCTCTGCCCCCTGGGCTCAAATGATTTTCCTGCTTCAGCCTCCCGAGTAGCTGGGACTACAGGCATGTGCCACCACTCCAGCTACTTTCTGTATTTTTAGTAGAGTCGGGTTTTACTGTGTTGGCCAGGATTGTCACCGACTTTTGACCTCAGGTGATCTGCCCGCCCTGGCCTCCCAAGGTGCTGGGATTAAAGGTGGGAGTGACTACGCCTGACCTTCCCCCTGTTTTTATTGCAGCTGCCTTGTCCTGCATTATCTGTTCCTTGGTGGAATAAGCTTTCTAATTCCGGGTCTTCCCACGTGTCTGCGGCTCACCCTTTGCCATTTCCCACTCAGAACCTTCAGATGGCATCACATTAGGGGCATTCTGAGATAATGATTCCTGGCAAGGAAAATGCATGTCTGAATAAAGGTATAGAGAAGCTTAAGAAATTTTACTCAATTGGATTAATTTATATTTTATACATGTGAAATCTTATGTGATTTCATTATGCAAATTAAAACAATGCTAAATAAAAACAAAAGAAGTAATGCTTGGCAACATTTTCATGGCAAGTGGAAATATGCTGAGTGTAGAATGAGAAAATATTTGATATAAACCCTACTATTACAAAGTGCGTCATGCTTGTTCATTATGGATAAGGATCTTATGCACGTACAAGTTGACTGATTTAAGGCAGGCAGTGACTGTTGGTCCATTCGCTGCCCACCCAGTGTTTATGCTACAATTCTTTCTTGCTAACAAAATTCCAGTTTTGCTCATGTGGCAAAGTGTTTTAGTCTGGTAGATAAATCATGATGAGTCTTATATAATGATAGTAATTCTAGTTCCCTTTGAC